AGTTCTATGCCTTTAGAGAACCTAAATCTTCAGACCTGACTTCTCTCATGAAATTCATATATGTCAAATCCAACTGTCTATTTAAAATATCCACTTGGATGTCTAATAGACTTTCAAAAGTACATCCAAAACACAACTCCTAGTTTATTACCACTCCCTCAGCTTACTCTCTCCTCTAATCATCTCCTTATCCAGTAAATGGCATGAACAAATGCTCAGTTGCTCACAGTACCTAGGTGTTAGCATTAATTTGGCCATTTCACTTATTTTTCCTTACCTCATGTAATTCATCAAGCCCTGTAACTTAACCTGCAAAACATATTCTAAATCCAACACCTTCTTCCCCTCTCCTCTACTTCTATATTAGTCAAGGCACTATCACCTCTCACCTGGACTATGCAAAGCCTCCTAACTTGTCTCTCTGCTTTTACTCTTGCTCCATTAAAAATCATTAAAATTCAGGCTTCACAGGCAAGAACAATCTTTTAAAAATATAAATCAGAACTTTCATACATTGCCAGTTGGAGTGTACACCAACTTTGAAAAACTGGCAGGTCCTTACAAAGTTAATCATGTGATCCATTCAGGTATTTACCCAACAGAAGTGAAAGCACATGTACAAAAATATTTATACAAGAATGTTCACAGCAGCCTTATTCCTAACAGCTAAAAACTTGAAATGACCCAAATGTCCATTGACAGAGGATAAATAAACAAACTCAGATATATTCATACAATGGGATACTAGTCATCAATAAAAAGAATGAACTGCAGATAAAATACAGGAACATAAATAAACCTCAAAAATATGTTAAGTGAAAAAGGCAGGCATAAAGTCCATATGATTCCATTTACATGAAATTCAAGAATAGGCAAAATTAATCTATGGTGATAAAAACTAGAATAATGATTGTCTCTGGGTAGAAGGAGGGAGTAATATCTGGAAAGGAGCATGAGGGAACTTTATAGGGTGATGGAAAAGTTCTATATCTTGACTGGGATTGTGGTTACATGGGAATGTGTTTGTTGAAATTCATCATAATACATTTAAAATCTATGTACTTTTTTGTATGTGAATTATATCTCAAATTTTAAGAAGTGTTTAATTCATCTATAGGTGACAGTATTACCTTTAATATGAGAATACTATTGTGAAGTCTAAATGAGATAACATATAAAGCACATACATGCTTAGTCTGTAATAAACATTCAATGTTAGCTATTATTATGATGAATATGTGCCATTCCCCTGCTTAAATCCTGATATCACAAACAGTAAAATGAAACCTCCATATTCTAGCCCAGCGATTTTCTTTTCTTTTTTCAATTTAAATTTCTTTTATTGTTGACTAGTCCAGCAATTTTCAACAAGTATGCTGCATCACACTGGTGTGCTGCAAGAATTTTTAAAACATGCTGATAGTTGACTATTTAGTCAGGAGCACTGACCTATTTTCCCTTATATTGTCAAATAAAAAAAATGACAACAGCCAATGCAATAGCTGTCTAGTGTGAATGAATCAAAATTATACCTATTTTTTGTCAGATTGGCAAAAAATATATTTTTTGGTGTGCCACAGAATTTTAGTAATTACTTCATGTGTACAATGAGATGAAAGGTTGAAAAGCAGTATAGAGTTACCCCCCCTCAAAAAAAAAATTAAAAATGGAACTGCCTTATGACCCAGAAATTCTACTTCTGGGAATATACCCAAAGAACCTGAAACGCTAATTTGAAAAAAATAAAAGTACCCCTATGTTCAGTGCAGCATTATTTACAATAGCCAAGATTTGGAAACAGCCTAAGTGCTCATTAGTAGATGAGTGAATAAAAAAGGTATGGCACATTTACAAAATGAAATGCTACCCAGTCATAAAGAAAAAGGTGGGGGGGGGGGTGGAATCTTATCCTTTGTGAAAGCATGGATGGACCTGGAGAGTACTATGCTAAGTGAAATAAGCCAGTCAGAGAAAGACAAGTACCATATGATCTCACTTATGTAAACTAACAAAATAGAAATAGACTCATAGATACAGAGAACAGACTGACACCTGTCAGAGGGGAGGGGGTTGGGAGGTTGGGTAAAAAAGTTGGAGGGATTAAGCAAAACCAACCAACCAAACAAACAAAAAAACCCACAAACAACTCATAGACCCCGACAACAGTATGGTGATTACCAGAGAGACAGCAGGGTGGGGAGAGGTAGAAGAGGGTAAAGGGGGCATAAATGGTGATGGAAGGAGACTTGACTTGAGTTGGTGAACACAGAATACAATAAACAGATGATGTGTTATAGAACTGTACACCTGAAACCTATATAATTTTATTAACCAATGTCACCCAATAAATTCAATAAAAGAAGAAAACATCAAATTTTAGGTTAAAAGGCACTGAGGTGTTAAGTATCTTTTTTTCTGTGTCTGGGAAAAGACTACAGATCTTTTCTTAAGTATCTTCTGAAGAAAGGGAGTCTTCCTGTCAGTTATGTTTTTAACCTCTATTAGTAGTGAAAGCAGTTTTAAATTTCTGGCCTTATACTATAATTCAAACATATGTCTTCTAGAAAATACAATAGATCTCATTATTTCTTAAAATTTTAATGCATGCAGATTGCTATTATACTATTTGGACAATCATACTACTAAAACTTCTTCCTTCAGGCTACTGTAAACATGTAAAGTTTTCCTTCCCAATCAAAGGGTCGATAACCAAATCTCAAATTACAGAACCAACACTATTTTTGTTATTTAAATTTAATACCATTCGAAAAACTCTTTCATTGGATTTATAAAAGAAAAAAAAGTAAAATATTCCGACAAACCTTACCTTCGTTTGCAAATCAGGAACCACAAAGCTGATGCCAAAGCAAAGAAACCAATTCCAAAAGCAACAGCAGAAGCAGCCAGAAAATAGGTTAAGTGATTAGAAAAACCTACACAAATAAATTATAAAAGAATATTTCATGCATGTATTTTCAATCTCTGGGTAAAATTAAATAATACATTTCAAATGATACTGTATAGTGTAGTGTTAAGACATTAACTAGAAAGTTGGGAGACCTGAATTGTGCTCCTGTGCAATTCTCATAAATTTTATGATCCTAGTCATGCTGATTAGGGCCCAGTGTGCATAACTCTGACCCTGCCAGGATTTCCTTGGTTTTGTTTGTTTTTGTATGGCTGTCATCTCCTTTTTTTCTGATCTCGTTTTCTCCCTTCCCAACCCAGCTGAGAATTTTTATTTTTCTGGTGTCATTCTTTGCAGTCTTCCAAAATAAGATACTTCATTTAAAGATTTTGATTATCAATCACTACAAGAAGTTAGATGAGGATAATAAAGAATAAGTATAAGGAATTTATGAAGATCTTAGGAATTTTAAAACATTTTATCCATACTTTATCTCACAAACAGTAAAATATCATAGCCAACCCTAAATAAAAGCAATATAAAATAATAACATATCAAAGATTTATAATTGAAAAAGGTTACAGGATTTATAGGTATAACTCCTTCATTAAAATTGAGGCCCAGGTAGTCCTAACTGGTTTGGCTCAGTGAGTAGAACATTGGCCTGCAGACTGAAGAGTCCAGGTTCAACTCTGGTCAAGGGCACATTCCTGGGTTACAGGCTTGATCCCAAGTAGGGGGCATGCAGGAGGCAGCCAATCAATGATTCTCTCTCATCGTTGATGTTTCTATCTCTCATTCCCTCTTCCTTCTTCTCTGAAATCAATTATATATATATATATATATAATTGAGGCCCAGGTAAAAGAAGTAACTGACTAAGGTTAGGTAGCAAATTAAAGCCAGTCCTCTGTTTTCTGGTTTTGTTTTTTATCTTATTACCAATAATCTTAATACTAGTTTTTGTATTCAAAAGAAATAGGAATAAAGAAAGGTAATTATAGTCAGATTGATCAAGTATTCATTAAGATTCTGAAATCTGCTACTTAAGCAAAAAGAGAGCTGTAGAAACTTTCACAGAAGGCTGTATAGAATTTGAAGGGCCTTAAAACAACCTAGGAATATATTATTTGAGAATAAAAGGGTTTAAAATTATAAAACTAACAGAAGATCTTTATGTGTAAGCATATTCTAAGTTCCACTAGGCCCTTCAAATTAGGGATATGACATGATAAAGACTTGCTCCCATATTTTAATTGCTTCCTAAGTAATTTCCAGCTTCCAAGAATCTTAGTTTTTTCCTTAATTTCCAGCTTCAGAAATCTTATTTTCCTGGGGTTCATATATATCTATATTTGAGAATTAATGGTACCAAGAAAGTTATATAAGGCTATATATCAAAATGATACTAATAATTTAAAAAAGCCCTCTAAATGCCCCATATTAGGAAGTCAATTAAATTATGTTATAAAATAAAATGTTCTTTAATTATTTAGTGCGGGGTTTCTTAAACTCAATATTATTCATCTTTTGAACAAGATAATTTGTTGTAGGGACGGTCAGGTGTATTGTATCAAAGATGTCTCCAGACATTAACAAATGTACTCTGAGGGGTAGGCAAAATTGTTCCCAGTTGAGAATTACTGACATAGTGGTATAAAATGTCAGATAGTATTAAATGATAAAAGCAAGATAGATAAAACCCATATTTAAAAAAATTCAAGATATAGTTATACTCAAATATCAGATAATGATATCTATGAACAAAAGAAGGAAAGCAACAGAGAAATAAATGGAGGCTAAACCCATAGGCATGTTAGGCACTGAGTGAGATCTGGAAGCAGGAATTAGCTAGAAGCAGCAAAGAACATCACTGAGACAAGACTAAACCATCCTCTGGCACAGTGAATGGAGATATTACCAAAATCTTTTAGAGAAGGGATTCCCGAGCCACCAATAAAAGACCAAAAATGGACAAAGGAGGAATCTCGGAAATAAAAAATTCAAAAATGTTAAGATGGAGTAAACTCTTCCTTGAATACAATTAATGAAATAAAAATAGTAAGAAGTGATTTGTCCAATTGTATACAGAAATAAAAATATGGTAAATAAATTATAATACTTGGAAAATATTAAGAGTATGTAACAAACATAAAGCTAATATGGGTTCCAAAAGAGAGAATAGAGAAGTAGCAGAGAAGCAGTGTTCAGAGATATGACCTAAGATTTTTTACTTTAAAAAAATTTAAATTCACAAACAGTAAATTTGCATGTGTTTGCAGTTTTATGTTTTAACAATGCAAAGAGTTTTTAATCACCACCACAATCAACTTACAGAACACTTCCATCACCCCCTGAAAATTTCCTCGCACTGCCTGTAAGCAGCCAAGCACTAACTGCTATCAACCACTGATTATTTTCCGTCCATAGTTTCCAACCTTATCCTGTTGTCTTTCCAGAATTTCATATAAATGGTATCATACAACATGTGGCCTTTTGAGTCTGGCTCTTTTTCACTTAGCATTATGCAGTTAAGATTCATCTGTGTTATTTCATGTATCAATAGTTCGCATCTTTTTATTGCTAAGTAGCATTCAATTTTATAGATGTACAACAGTTTGTTTATTCTCCAGCTGAGAGAAGTTTGGTTGTTTCCAGTTTGGAGTTCTTAGAAATAGAGTTACTATATACTTTCAATATATATATATATTTATTTATTTATTACAGAGAAGAAGGGAGAGGGATAGAGAGTTAGAAACATCGATGAGAGAGAAACATCCATCAGCTGCCTCCTGCACACCCCTACTGGGGATGTGCCTGTAACCAAGGTACATGCCCTTGCCCAGAATTGAATTTGGGATCCTTCAGTCCACAGGCCGACACTCTATCCACTGAGCCAAACCAGGTAGGGCTAGAGCTACTATATACTTTCATTAGGTATTTGTTTAAATATGAGTTTTTATTTCAGTAATGTCGGGTAGCAAGTACAAGTATTTAAATTTATGAGAAACTGTCCAAACTGCTTTCCGGAGTGGCTGTACTGTCTTGCTTTCCTATCAGCAATATATAATAGTTCCAGTTTCTCTGGATCATCACCACCACTTCATATTGTCAGTTTTATTTTAGCCATTCTAATACATGTGCAGTGGCATTTCATTGTGGTTTTAATTATTTTCATTTCCTTAGTGAATAATGAGGTTGAGCATCTTGCCATGTGCTTATTTACCATCTGTATAGCTTCTTTAGTGAAGTATGTGTTTAAATCTTTGCTAATTTTTTAGAATTCTTCATACATCCTGGATACAAGTCCTTGGTCAGATATGTGATTTGGAGATATTTTCTCCCAGTCTGTGGCTTGTCTTTCCAATTCTCTTGTGTCTTTCACAGAGCAAAACGTTTAAATTTTGTTCATGTCCAATTTGTCAACTTTTTTCTTCTATGGATTGTACTATAGGGTTCTATCTGAGAACTCTTTGCCTAATCTAGATCATGAAGATTTTCTTGTAAAAGATTTATAGCTTCCATATTTGTGAATATTTATAATCACATGTAAATAACTCATGAATTAAAGAAGAAATCAATGGAAATGCATAGAACTAATTAATAATGAAAGCACTCCGTATAAATACTTGCAGCAACAATGCTGGAACCAAATTCAAGGGAAATGTATGACCCTAAATACATATATTAGAAAAGAAATCTGAAAAATAATGAGCTTGCCATTCAAATTATAAGTTGAAAAGGACTAGCAAGCAAAATAAGCCCAAATGAGGTAGAGGAAGGAATTAAAGAACAGAAATTAATGAAATGCAAATTAAGATTTTTGGTCAAGACTAATAAAATGACAAATCTCCACTAAGATTAACCAAATTAAAAGAAGGCATAAGCAAACAATATTAAAATGAAAATGGACATAGTTATAGCAGAGATTAAAATAAGAAAATGCTTTTAACAAATTTATGCTAATATCTTAAAGCTTATACTAAATTATTATATACCTAAAAAATGACTTACAAAAAGTGACTCAAGAAGTAATAGAAAACCTAAACGAACATGTATCCATTAAATTGAATCAGCAGTTACAAATTTCCCCCAAAGAAAAAAAGCAGGCCCCGATAACTTTACAATTTCTACTGTATACCCATGATTCAAGTATTTCTTATCTTATACAAGCTCTTCCAGAAAATAGAAAGAGATTGCTGGCTGTTTGTCCAAATACATTTTCCTCTTCTTTCCAGGCAAAAAGCTAGACTACATGTCCCAGCTTCCCATACCATTAGGTGAAGCCATGTGACTGAGTTCTAACCAATGGAATTTGAGTAGAAGTGATGTCATAAAAAGCTTCCAAGAACCTTTCTCCATGTTCTTTCTCCTTTAGGCTTAACTGGGATGGAGATGATCTGAAGGGCACATGAATCTAATTGACACTCAACCCAAATAAAATGAAAACACAACACACCAGAATTTATGGGATGCCACCAAAGCAGTACTCAGGGGGGGAAAAAACTATACCAAAAAAACTGCAGTATTAGAAAAAATGTGTGAATAATCTTAAAAACTAGAATAAATAGAGTAAATCAAGGCCAAAATAAACAGAAGAGAAAAACACACACCTAAAAACTAAAGTGATAACAGGTGAAATAGAAAACAAAAATAATAGAGAAAGTCAATAAAACCAAAAGCTCGTTGTTTGAGATCTATAAAATTGAAATCTTTTAGCTAGACTGATCAATAAAAAGAAAAAGGGTCTCTCCTCCCACTGCCCAAGATGCCAAAAGGAAAGAAGCCTAAGGGGAGAAGGTGGCATTAGCCCCTACTGTCGTGAAGCAGAAAGCCAAAAAGATGGTACATTCTGTTTGAGAAAAGGCCCAAGAATTTTGGCATTGGACAAGATGTCCAGCCCAAAGGGGACCTCACTTGCTTTGGCAAATGGCCCTGCTGCACTTGGCTGCAGGGGCAAAGGGCTATTCTCTATAAACACCTGAAGGCGCCTCCTGTGATTAACCAGTTCTCCCAGGCCTTGGTCTGCCAAACAGCTACTGAACTGCTTCATCTGGCCCACAAGTACAGACAGGAGACAAAGCAAGAGAAGTAGCAGAGATTGTTGGCCTACCTAGGCTGAGACTAAAGCTGCTGGCAAAGGGAATATCCCCACCAAGAGGCCACCTACCTTAGTAAAGAATAAGAAAAGGGAGCTGGTAGTGACTGCAGGTGATGTGGATCCCATCAAGCTGCGTGTCTTCCTGTCTGCTCTGTGCGGTAAGATGGGATTTCCCTACTGCATTATCCAGGGGAAGGCCAGGCTGGGGTCTCCAGTCCACAGGAAGACCTGCACCACCAGCACCTTCACACAGATGAACTCGGAAGACAGAGCTGCTCTGGCTAAGCTGGTGGAAGCTAACTGGACCAATTACAATGACAGACATGATGAGATCTGCTAGGCAACATCCTGGGTCCAAAGTCGGTGGTTCACATTGCCAAGCTGAAAAAGGCAAAGAACTGGCCACCAACCTGGACTAGGTATACACTATTGAGTTTTCTAATAAAAGCAATAAAAATTCTCCTTTAAAAAATGGGCACAATTACAAATATCAGAAATTAGAGAGGTGACATTATTACAGATTCTACAAATAGTAAAAGAATAGCAAGGCAATTTTTATGAACAATTTTATACTAATAAATTTAACAACTTACACAAAATGGAAAAATTCCTCAAAAGACATAAATATCCAAGCTTATTCAAGAAGAAATAGATAACATAAATAGACACATATAGATGAAAGAAATTAAGATGGTACATGGTAGTTAAAATTCTATGTACAAAGACAACTCTATGTCCAGGTGGCTCCACTGGTAAATTCTACTAAACATTAAATTAAAATAGTATTAAAATAGTACTAATTCTACACAAATGCCTCCAAAAATTTAAATACAAGAGAACACTTTCAATTCATTCTATGAGACCAGCTTTACCTTGATACCAAAACCAAACAAGAACAAGAGCCAGAGCAAGAGAGAGAAAGAGAAGAAATTATAAATTGAACATAAATGCAAAATGCATCTATGTTATGCATCATGAACAGAGATGCAAAAATTCTAAACAATATTTTAGCAAATAAATACATTATATTAAAAGGATAAAATGTCATGACCAAGTGCAGTTTATCCCAAGAATATAGGGTTGGTTTAGCATTTTAAAACCAATAAAGAAATATACCATATAACAAGTTTGGAAAGAAAATCCACATAATCAACATGGATCTAAGTCAATAGACGGGAAACAATTTGATAAGATCCAACATCTACTCCTGATTTGGAAAAAAAAAAGGCACAAAAAACAAATCTCAGCAAACTACGATAGAAGGGCAACTATCCTAGTTATTAGGTTCCTCAAACTGATAAAAGCCATTTTAAAAAAGTAATCAGACTTAATGATAAAAGACTGAATGCTTTCTTTTTAAAATCAGGAGCAATACAGGGACTTCCATTCTCACAACTTCTATTCAACAATATACTGATGGTTCTAAACAGTGCAACCGGGCATGAAAAAGAAATAGAAGGCATCTTGATTAAAAAATAAGAAATAAATGCTTATATTCTCAGAGTTATAGTCTGAATGTTTTTGTGCCCCCCCCCCATTCATATGTTGAAATCCTAATGCCCAGTGTGGTACTGGTAGTCAATGAGTATTTAGAAGGTAGGGCCTTCAGAGGTACATGGGTTCTGAGAGTGGAGCCCTCATGAATGAGAATAGCACTCTTATGAAAACAATCCCACAGAGCTCCCTAGCCCCTTCCAACCATGTGAGGCACAGCCATAAGCAAGAAGAAGGATTTCTCCAGACACAAAAGTTGACCATGCAGGTACCCTAACCTCAGATTTCCACCCACCAGAACTGTGAGAAATAAATTTCTGTTGTTTATAAGCCACCCAGTTCTTGGTATTTTATGATAGTAGTTCAAATGGTCTAAAACACACAGGGAATATGCCCATCAATGTAAAAAAAATCTGTGGACTTAAACTAGAACAATTAAGTGAGTTTAACAAGAATGAATGCAAGAATCAATATACAAAAAAACAAAAAAAAACAAAAACGTCCTCTGAAACTGCAAAACTCCTAGAAGAAAACAGGTAAAAAGTTTTGTGACAGTCTTGGCAGTAGTCTCATGAATATGACACCAACAGCAAAAATAGACAAGTGGGACTATATAAAAAAGTTTCTGCACAGCAAAGGAAATAAAGAGTAAAAAGGCAACACACAGAATGGAGAAAAATATTTGTAAGCAATAAGTGACTCTGTTAGAAAATATATCTAAGCCACAGTAGATTAATATTGTTACGTTTTAATATCATATCTTTTTTGCTGTAAGCTGTTTAAATAACCAAAACAAATTTATATAACAATAAAAATTTGTTCATTCTTACACAGATGATTCTGACTTGTGCATACTTTTCTTTATGCTAATTTATCAAACCCTGAGTGTTGTTTCTCCATCTGTGGTTAAATACACATCACTCAAATAAAAAATTTTAAAATAAGGATCTTACATCTTGGTGTTTATTAATTTGAAATCTGGTTTTTTTTTTCATTCTGAATAGTTTCAGTAAAATGTATGTTACGGTAGAATGTCTCTTTATGTGCTTTAACTTGGTCTTGTTAAATTGCTAAAATACAACCTTACTCCTGCTTAAGAATACATCTTCATTATACAAGTTAGCAAATAGCTTATATCAATACAAATGTCCAGCAATGTAATGAAATCATTGCTACTTGAAATACTTCCTGCACAAATAATTTAACTCTTTACCATGTTGAAGCCTTACTTTTCAGTATGTTCTATAAGTTCTGTATCTTCACAAGCAGGCATTGAAGACACTTCAGCTGTTACAATACTTTTTAATCCCCAAGTTTGATAAGCCACCTCTGATTAAGCCACATGTAAATGTTAAATACTAGATGTGTGTTCTAAGTTGTTTTCCTGCAGACATCTGAGTAAGCAGACGAATTTTGTTGTCCTGAAGTACATAGATGCTCTGATGATTTGTCCGTAGACTGTCGATTTGTTTCTTGAATACTGTAGTCCAGAAATCTTTACAAATGAATTTCATATCTAACTCATCCTTGAACCTTGCTGTATCTTTTGTAACCCCATCAATCCTTGTCCACTCCACACCCTCTGTTTTCCAACTTAGCATCCATTTTCCACACCCCCCTCTCCTTTCAGCCCCGTGGACAGTACACGCATGACACCACTTCCTTATGGAGAAGCAAAAACAAGACCTCCTCGGCCATTTCCTGCTTATTCTTAAAAGCTCTGGTTTTCGGCTCCCCATTGGGCCAGGCTCATGGGTGCTGGCTAGCTCCAGAGCGCTTTGGACTGCGCAGCTGCTCCCTGAGTCCCCAGCCTGTCCCTGGTTGCTAGGAGACGGAGGAATTCACTTGGTTTCCTGAAGGCTGGTACTGGAGTGAGCCTGGTATCAGGCGAGGCCACCCCAGGGAGGCCAAGTTCTCCGGCTGAATCCTAATATTATGTCTTTATAGCAAGGATATAATTTAAAAAATGATTGCATAGGGAATAATCATCTAAACATTAACTATATTATCCATCATATTATTCTAAGTGTCCCTGATATAAGGAGTCTGTGACAAACTTCTTTTAGAATTCAATATCAAGAAACATTCTTTTCAGACCAACTGGCAATGTGTTTATTTGTCAGATAATAAGATTTAGATACCCAGTGTTTCTTTGCCTTGAATACTAGAAAGTTCAAACTAAAATTCATGCTTGATTATGGAAATTATGTTAGCTCAAACATTCAAATTTTAAATTTATGGCATTCCCATTTTTCCTTCTAGTTTATATTTTTTTATATCTTTATCAGTTCTATTTATGTGACTTTTACTGAAAACTACTTTAAATCCTTTCTGAAAACAAGAAAGATACACATTTAAAAAAATTCTCTGGAGCTTAGTACTTTAAAGAAAAGGGCCATATATTATTCACCCTTGTATCCTTTGATACTTCTTTTAAATTTATCCTTAGATATTGCTTGTAGCATAGCACACAGTAGGAATTTAACTATGAATGGTTCATACTACCTTTGAAGAACTTCCACACAATGGGAGTAGGATTCATTAATTCAACGATTATTTACTGAGCACTTACTATGTGCCAGACACTATTCTGAAGCCAGTCATACTGTGATGAACAAGAAGAGTGTCCTGGGCCCTGGACAGTGTTGCTCAGTGGTAGAGTGTCAGCCCTCAGGCCAAAGAGTCTCAGGTTCAA